ATCAGCTTCAGAAAAAAAAAAATTACACCAAACAAAATTTTTGACAAGTTTTGATTAATTTTGATCATTTAAAATTTTATGATGCTCTTGAGGATCACTATTATTATTTCATGGATTTCTTTATTTTATTATTTTACGGATTGATTTATTTTATTATTTTACGGATTGATTTATTTTATTATTTTACGGATTGATTTATTTTATTATTTTACGGATTGATTTATTTTATTATTTTACGGATTGATTTATTTTATTATTTTACGGATTGATTTATTTTATTATTTTACGGATTGATTTATTTACTTATTTATTTTTGCATGATGATGATAATTTTCTTTTTGTTAAAAGAAAGAATTTTAGATGAAGGAAATTTTTATTGAAAAGAAAAATGCCACTTTGTGGAAATGAGTGTCTGCAAGAGCTTTATTTTTTCTCTCTTCCAAGGAATTTTTTCCAGCTCAAGAACATATTGATTAAAAAAATTATGTGACTTCTTTGCCTTCTCCCAACAATTGAATTACTGAACGATCACCACAAAAACGATCAATATTCTAATCATTTTAATCTACTCCTCACATTATTGAATGATGGTTATAAATTATTTGTATTTAATGTTTGTTTTTTCTGTCAGTGCCTGTAAATCTTTCTTTCTTCCTATAAAACTGTTTATTGATTTTTCTAAGAACCTATAATCATGTGAATAAAACAACTACAAATGATTGGTTGAAAGAGACTGAGCATGGAAATTATTGTTATATTCTAGGAGGTGTTGAAAAGTTATTACCCCAACCCACTTCCCAAAATCTGAAGAAACATGTGTGTGTGTTTCTATTTTTATTTTTTTTTTTATCTAAGAAGTTTTCAACACACTATATTGTTAGCTACATTCAATCATTTTGGGAATTGGTCTTTTCACGGGTGTAAACATTTGCTTAAATGCTACAATCAGTACAAAACAAATTAAAAGAAACTATAATATATTTCTAATTAAACTATCAATTTCAAATATTTTATCTATTCAAATATACTTTTAAAATAGTATGATACTTTTGCAAACTAATGTAACTGTTGGAAATTTATGAATGTTATTGTCTGCAATTGTTATTTACAATTTCTAAAGTGTGTATATATATATATATATATATATATATATATATATATATATATATATATATATTTGCACTTTAAATTATCCATAAAAATATATTGGTATTTTCACCAGCTGAAAGATATTAACTTTTATCAAATTGTTATCGGATACTAAATTTAGATATCTTCTTTCCCTCCCCACCAACATTTTAATATCAGTAAAAATTCCAGTTATTCTTACTGCCAGTGGTGTGTGTGTGTGTGTGCATATATATATATATATATATATATATATATATATATATATAAACACACACACACAGTGCAATGGATAAGTTGTCAACTAAATTACACAAAAATGAAAATAACAATGACATCTCATTTTAACAGATATATTTACCAAAATTACACAAATTTATCTTGAAATGCTAAATAGTAAATTTATTCAGTAAAGTCACCATTGACTTCAACAACGGCCTCCAGATGACTTTGGAATCTTCTGCAACTCTTCTGGACGGTCTCCTGTTTAAATTGGTGAATGCTGCCATAATCCTTGCCTTCAGTTCATCTTTGGGTGTTACAATGAATTTGTTGGTCTGCACCCTCCACATAATAATCAAGGGGGTTGCAGTCTGGGGAGTTTGGTGGCCAGATGTAAGGGGTGGTGTTGTCACAAAAATTGCCTGACAGCCATAACTGGGTTCTCCTGCTTGTGTGCCATGGTGCAGTCTTGTTGTCAGACATAGGGTCTTCCAGCACCAACCCTCTCAACCTAGGGCTGTACTTCCTCCTCTAGGCACTTGATGTAGGCCATTGTGTTTAGTCTGAGGTCTTTGCCAACAAATCTAGGAGTTCTTTTTCTTATCAGAATGATCAGACTGAATTTTCCGAGTTGCCATACATTCATAATCACCATTAGACTCCTCCAACTCTTTCTGAATCCTCTGCACTGTCTTAAGATTGACACCCAAGCACTCTGAAATGTTTGTATTGGAGCTTCTGGTGTGAATGCCAAGTAGTACAGCATGCCGTTTTCAAATTTCTGACAGAGTGAATTGCGCCATGGTGTACTTTTTCTCACAAACGGTGTTCAACTGACCCTACTATAATATGCAATCAACAAAATTAAAAATGAACAATGCATATGCACACGAAATTAAAAAAATAATATGGTGACAATACCCATCGCTCCTTGTATATATATATATATATATATAGTTTGTTTGTGTGTAAATTGGTCAAACTTTTAAAATTTTAAATCAAAAAATGAAATTAATGCAAACGTACATATGAAACAGATGACCATTCCTCATGCAAGAAATTGTATTTTTAATTGGTTCTAAATTATTTCCACTTCGTTATATTTACTCTTCAATTATACTTTCCTTTTGCTGTATTCCAACTTTTGATTGAGTGTTATAATTTGTCAGATTTTTACAAAGCAAACCTTCAGATAATTATACTCATAATTTATTCTTGAAATAACATTCAAGATATTTTCTAGAAAAATGGTTGATATTATTTAAAACTATTTGAAAATATATTCTAGGCAGGTTATAAAAGTTTTTATGATCTCTATTACATCTGCTTCCAAATGTTTTATTTCAACAGAAATGTCAAAGCATGGGCACTTAAAATAAATAATGACATGTAAACCAGTAATTGAAGACTTTAATAAGATAGACAACACGACTATTACATGTAAAAGTAGAAGTGTTAGTTTTTATAATATATGAAAAATAGTGATTAACAAATAAAGTTGTGGTTTATAATCCTCAAAAATGACTATACAAAAACAGTGTCACTATTAGTTCTTTACTAGATTAATCCATTTTATTATTGTTGCTTTTTGTCCCAATACTAAGTGTTAGACCATATAAAAGATGATATTACTTTTGGAGAGAGTTCAATTTTTACTTTATGCCTCACACCCTGTTCTGTACAAAGCTATGCTTAGTAAATATTAATAGAAATTCACTGATATTGAATTGAGGTGATAAAAAAAACCTTTTACTTTTGTATTAGGAATTTTTATAGTTCTTGCTATTTATTTTTTAATTTTTTTTAGATGACAAATGTATGCTTTTATTTTTAAAACTTTTCTCTTAATAACTCCCAAATGAATTTCATTCATTCATTTTCAATGACTTATTGAAGTGTTGGTGTGCCATGCTGAGTAAATTGACTGTGTGTCTTCACTTGGGACAATGGGCATTATTTGACAGTGCCCATCTCCTTTCCAATTAACATACAACAGGCTGTATTGAATTTTATGGTAAAAGAAATCATCTCTGGTTTGTTTTGTAGTATACCTATAACAGTGACTTAACATGATTAAAAGGGCTCCTGATGTTTTGCTGTTAACTCCTGGATGAGAGAAGTGGATTTCTACTTTTTCTAAGGATATTAGGGTAAAATAGTCAAAGCTTAAACTCAGTTTGTCAGTTCCATTTTGTGTGCCATTAACCCACACTTTGAAATTTCAACTGAAAAACATTTAAAAAATAATCTGTCTCTGGATTTAAACTGACAAAAGCCTGTTAATATTAATACTTTTTAATCATTTCAGAATTTTTAAAATGGAACTCTGGAGGCTGGGAGAAGAATTCTAAGATTAACATTTCCTTTCCAATGTGTTATTTGCTTGAACAGTGATTTAAAGAAAACAAATTACCTCAAACTGGGTTATATTTTTACCATATTTCATATTATAAATTTTTTTTTTTTTTATCAAGTTCATCCCCATTCAAGGCATTAAAGCCACTAAGACACAAGGGGTTACTGAGTGTGGAAGAATTAGAAAATAAACACGACTAAGAAACGAGTACAGAAGAAGAGTAATTAGGAGGTCAGTAGATAGCAATTGACATTGCATTTAAATTTTTGAAGATTAAACTTGGTTAGAAAGCATGGGGCTGGAAGGGAGTTCTACAAGCAAGAAGAGACCTCATTGCTAGTCTAGTACTGTTTGCATTCATAAAATCTAGTAAATAGTAAAGAGCTCATCCAAACAATTACCATGAAAGTATTTATAGAAAAGGCACAGGGAGGCAACTTTATGATGGTAGGGAGGTGATTAAAGCTTTTTATTAATTTAAAAAAAATATTTAACATAATTTTAGAAAGTTTCAATGTTTTGTAAATTGCTTTATCAATTAGTAGATTGTGATAAACAAGAGCTATTAAAAAAATGCTGGGTAGAACCAATCATACTAGCAATACTAAAGAATTTTATATTAGTTTATGTCTACATAGCGAGCAAGTATGTAAATATTTCAAACCTCTCCTCCATCCTGGTAAAAAAAACTTTATTCAAAATGGGAAAAAAAAATTGTCACATCATATGTCCATATCATCAACCCTTCTTCCCAATTGTCAGCACCCTAATAGTTAACCATGTCCAGTTTTCTCTCTTTGTCATTCTTAAGTTTTAATTTTAGTTATAAGCAGTCCAGTACTTAAAAATAAATAAATAAAAATTAGTTGCTGTAGTGGCAACAGAAATGGTAATAAACTTGGAATTAGGACTACTGCAAGTTTCCGAGGGAGAGAAAGAGATACAAAAAGGCACACATCAGTGATGACATCCCCCTCTTCCCTCCTCTCCCCACACACGCAGACACATTTCCTTCCATGAATATCAGCTTGTTATGTATGTATCCCAAGAGCCCTCAACACACAAGCATTTTTAACTTCATCATCATCATTGTTGTCCGTCACAGTGTTACTGCTATTTTAAGGAGACTGATACAGAAAATGAAAAGTGACAGAGATGGGGAGGAAGATTTCTTCCATTGAACAACAATTCCACCCCCCTCCCCCACCGTCTACTACTGTTATAGATTCTTTTTGTGAATTTCCCACTGTTTGTTGGGGTCTTTGAGAAGCCATCTAAATGATTGAAATATGTCTCGCATCTCTGACTACTGACATATTCATGTACTTGTAAAATTTGCCATAATCATATATTGCCAAATAGTGACATAAAAATATCCACTACAACCACTACTATTATCGGCTATGGGTTTTTCTGCTCCCACTATATTGTGGACAAAGACTCTGGGAGTTCACTCCTATGAATGATGGATTGGACCGCTTCCTAATAACGGCTACCCTTACAACAGATTTTTAGCACCTTAAAAAAAATAGAAAAGGAAGATTTTAAACAGGACATACACAGTTGGACACAAGTGACACTTTCAACTGACGGCTGTGACTGACAACAGGGGTAGAGTTGTGGTTGTGTGTTTGTGTGTGTGAAAGGAGGCAAGAATTCCATTGCTTGATGTGGGCACTCACTTGTTCTCCTACAATAGTAATTAGATTCCCCACTCTCCCAGTCATCACACAAATACTGATTTAAGATCCCTGCCTGCTGGTAAGGACTGATTTTTTATTTTTTTCTTCTGTGTTCATTCAACCTTTTCATTTTTGTTGTTAATGCCTTTCTTCCATGCCAGTTCCCTGTTTACTTATTTCAAGTCAGCTGCTGCCGTAGATTCTGCACTCGGTGTCTCTTCCTCTTCCTGGCTTACATATTTTTTTCCTTTCTGTCAGTTATGTACCTACTTACATGTTAACAGCTGGCAATCTCTAGTTTATTATTTTGCTCTTTCAATCGATCTTCATCTCTCGTCCTCCTCCCCTCTCTCTCTAAAATATATTTTTCGTTGGTTATCTTTGTAACATATTTTCTTCTTCTATCTCTTTCATCTTTTCTACTGTCTATAACTTTTTAGATGATTTCAAATATTTATTGTATTTGTCTGAAAATCTATTTCTCTATATTAAAAACTAAAGACATGCTTTTTTTTTATTATCAATGATGTGCCTATACATTTTAGTACATTTATGTGTTAGGAGTGGATATGACTTTATCTGCTAGTTGATGTTTATTTTACTTATTTTGCCATTGTATTACTTATCTACATATGTGTGAGTGTGTTTTTTATGTTTGTTTTTTATCTGGGAATAGGATGTGTCCATTTTTATTTAGTTCATTCAGCAATGATGTAGTTGCCGCTTCATTTATATCTCTATGCCATCCATTCTTCAACTGTCTTCATCTATTGAAAAAAAAAAATGTCAACTGAACCTGGAATGTCAAACTATTCCTAAAAGAATGCCATTATCTCTCATTGCAAGCTTTTGATTTTAGACAAAAGCTTTCCCTCTCCACATTTAAATAGTTCTTTTCTACATAGTTTTAAACCCCTTGTTTATGTGCCTCTAAGACTAAATTACTGTTATAAAGACTTAAGCTTAACAATGCAGTTTCAGATTGGGTATGTATATATGTGTGCATTTCTTTTTTTTTTCTTTCTCCTTTATAGAAGTCATATTTTATACAATACTTAGTAAATTATATATGCATAAGTGTACCTAGTATGACCTGAGAAAATAGTGTATTGAAAAAACACATGTGCATTACTGGCCAATCCACAATTTATTTAAATAAATAAAAACCTAACATTTGAATATTTGACTGTTATAGGAAAGAATACATGTTTTTGGTGCTCAAACAATTATAGATTAAGAATAAGTATATGTTACAAAAGTGCATTCCAAGCTTGGTTTGTATTTCTCTTTGTCTATGCATCGGATGGATTTTCTAGCCTTTTAAATCCTATTTTACAAGCATTTATTTATATTTTTACTATTCCTCAATATTATTCTCATTAACACTAGCATCCTGAACATACTGAAATAATTTTTTTTTTTTTTTTTTAAGTGTATCTTATGTCAGCAAATGCTGTCCGTGTGTTTATAAATTCAGATATAAATAAAAATATTCCTTTAAAAAGACAATATAAAATAATGACAGAAGAAAAACTTTAAGAATTTTTATCCTCTGATACATATTATCAAAACAAATGTAAGGATTTTGTTTTTTAAAAATAAAGTCCTTACATTTGTTTTGATGAAGTCCATCAGAGGATGAAACGTGGTGTTAAGTTTTCCTTTTGTCTTTATTACACACACACACACACACACACACACACACACACACTCGTGTGTAAACCATTTGTGAAAGTAGCAGAGATATCACATTTAATTTTAATGTTAATTTGCACTTGTATGAACTATATTGTAGTTTATTAAAATTGTTCAAAAAATAAGCTTATGTAGAAATAGAAATATAGTAAGATTGTTACTAATACTAAATTTTGTTCAGTAAATTGCAATTAGTATTTAAAAAGAAAAAGACAGACATATATATATATATATATATATATATATATATATATAAAAACTATCCAATGATGTAAATGTTTTATTTTAAAATAATTTCTTCAAAATGAATCTCTTAATTTAATACGGAAAATAATATTAAAAAAAAAAAAATACCTTGCTTGTATGACAAATATTTTTATGGGTGTTTTTTTTTTTGGCTTCTACGTATCACAAGAAAAAGTTATAAAATATAGTGTGATTTATATTTTAATCATTGAATAAGATTTATTGTTTACCAAGCTCAGAGTTAGAATCTGCAATGTTATTGGTCCTGATCTGATATCTCAGCTTCAGTCACATTCCCACCACCATAACATATCTTTCTCATTTTCTCTAACACTCGGTAAACCCTTGTATCTTAGTGACTTTATTGGCTTGCTTGGGGTGAAATGATTACATTATATATATATATATATATATATATATAGCAATAAAAATCATTGTAAAATCCTGACTAAAAACTTAATGTGGCAAATGATCCTTAGGCACTATTTACAAGAAGTTTGTTTAATGTATCTGTGGGTATGTGTATATATACCTCCTGATGAGTGGATGGAGTAATTCCCAGTGAGTCCATATACAAAACTGGAGTTGGGGATGCTGAAGCTAACATCAATCAGCTAAGTGGCAAACCTTTTACTTGTATTATTAATTATATATATATATATATATATATATATATATATATAAAAAAAATGGGCTGCTGAAACACACTTCCCAAAATCTGAGAAAATTTTTTTTTTTCTAAGCAATTTTTGGTTAGGTCATGTTAAGAATTTTATTTTCAGAAATATGATTTTGGAATTATTGCACGTTTTATAAATAAACAAATTTGTTGTCTATATAAGTTTTTAAATTTTGGAATATTGACAAAAGTATCTTCTGCTCTTGTTTAGTGAATATTGATAACCAACAGAGTTCTTTAGTTCCCTTCATTTCTTGTCTTCAAATTGCCAGAAGACCACTATGCCATCTGTATACATGTATCAGGTGTATAGGCATAGATGTATATTGACACCTTGTCACAATGTTATTGTTTGCAAGCAAGCCCAGAAGACCATTACTACTGTAGTGAGTTTAATTCTCTCCAAGTAATGCACAAATGGCCTTGTGCTAAACAAACGCAAGAAATATGGATATTTATGAACACACCCATGTTAAATCCTCGTTTCTAAAGCCTAAACACAACTCAGATAGTCAAGGTTTAACTGCAATGACCTTTTCTAATTCCCATATTTTATTATCGGAAAACAAATTGATATGTTTACTTCAGTTTTGTCCACTAAATAAATTCTATGATGTCTATGAAGATCTGATGTTCATTTGATGGAGTTGATGCTTTTTAGATGGTAGCAATAAATGCTTATCTCCCCATCACCATATGTAAACTCTATCTTCTTTTTATCTTTTTTTCTTGCTTCACAGGTGAAGCAACAAGTCTTATCAGGTCTCCTTAACTATTTTTGTCTCTGCTTTTCCTTTACTGACAAGTGTTATCTTTCTTCATTTGCCTGTCACTGGCTTTTTATTTTATTTTTTTTTAATTTTCCGTTTTTTTACATTATTCAACCCATATTCCCATCGATAACAAACCTTGTCTACTTGATTAAAACAACCCAAAAAAAAGAAAAAGGTGACAAATATAACTTTCCATTTTTAATTTACATTTTCTTTAAAGCCTCCACTTTATTAGTTTGTTTCTTGATTTTTTTTTTTGTTTTCTATAATTTTTTTTTTTTTTTTTTAATTTTGGTTTCTTCCATTTTTCAGTGTTATAACTCCTTCTTTTTGAACTGTTATCTTTCTCTCTTATTTTATTATTACAAACCCTAAATATTTATCTGTTTTTCCAAAATCTATTCTCTCCCACTCGTGATTGGGGTGATGTGTTTATCTTCTCATTCTTGCTTTTTATTTTTTTCATTTTTATTATTTTTATTATTTATCTTCATTTGGTCTTTTGTTTTTCTCTCTCTTATTACAGGGATTATTTTCATTTAGTTTCCCAACCTCCTTTATCTGATAATTTTCAAGCTGTCTTTTTTCTTTTTTCTTTTTTTTTAAACTCCACCAGCCATTTTCCTGAATTTTTTTTTTTTTAAGCATCACCTTCCATTTATTTTACCTGTTACTTTAATTCCTTTTCCAATAATCTCTTACTTTCTTTTTTATCAACTTTTCTTTCTTTCCATTCTTTTCTTCCAGTTGTTTGCTTATATTCACAACCTCTTTTGTTTTTCACTTCATCTTTCCATCCTTGTCACTATTTCATCTTCTTCATTTTCAGCTGCCTTTGTTTTATTTTAGCAGTTTCTCTTTTTCTTCTCACAACTATTATCTTCTAGCTTGGATCTCCACCTGCACAAAATTGACTAAAAATTCTTTTAAGTTGATTCTCTTTATTCTCATTGTTTTTTTGTTATAATGTTGATTAAACTTAGTGATATTTGATATAACTGAAAGCAGACACTGGGAGAGAGATCAACTAACAGAAGGCATCACAAACACATTGTTAAATTACAGACTGTCAAATGAAAGAGAAACTAAAGACTCATGGGATATGCAAAACAATTTCAGAGTAGGTTCAAGAAAGCAATGATTGTTTTACTTCTTCCACACATCAATCTACATAAATGCATTTTGTGTATTCATATGTTAATTTTAAAGTAAAGGATGCTTTATCCATAAGACTGAAAACTTCTTCCCCCCCTCCTCAAAATATGCACATCCTCAAAATTATTTTTTTATTTGAGGAAATTTTTAATAATTTTATTTTTTGGTATCTTCTCAATTTTATGTTTGTTTTCTTCATGTAAAACTATAAACTAATCTCTTATATTATTTTCAGACACTTTTAAGTTCTTACTTCAGATTTGTAAAAAATGCTTATCAAATAATGCATTTCAGTAAGAATATATGAAAAAAATATTATTCCATCATTTGAGCAATTGGCTTGTGGATTATTTGGCTATAATTTCATAATCCTGACAATTTTTAAAAATATTTTTTTTTTAGTCTCATTAGTGCAATGACTATCATTAGGTTCTACTTGTTTTTGGTGGTCTATTTCTATTTGAATGAAATGAGTGCAATCATGAGCATATTTATAAGGATATTCAAGTCTGACCTAAAGGCTGTAGAATT